GGAGAAACCCGACGACCACATAGGAACCTTCACATTTACTGGAGCAGAGATCAGGCCTGCAGGGTGAGGGGGAGGAGGGCAGAAGGCGCAGAACAAAAGAGTCAGAAACACACAGATGAATGTGTGCGGTCCCAGAATGAAAGAGGAAGTTGGAGATGTTGCAATAGTCTATTGCACAAAACTTGAAGTTGCTAAAAAAAGACAAAAGAAAAATTTGTCATGTTTTAACATTACCAGAGGTGTTAAGATTGATCACTTCTTAGTGTTATATTTAAATAAAAATAAGTTGCAGAAAGAACATCAATGCAAAAGGCTGCAAAAAAATTAAAATAAAAAATTAGCACGAGGGTTTTTTTGTGTGTGTGTGTGTATGATTTATCTGTGTGGCCCTACCGTGCCAGTGCTGGGTGCACAGCTGACTGATTTCCTGGAAAAGTTCAGGTTGCTTCTCAGCTCGTACGTTCAGAAAAAGGCCCAACACCAGCTCTGTCCCCAGAGACTTAAAAGCAGTGTATACACTCTCTGGCTGACCACTACACAGACACACACAAGTATACAATCGGAGACACATTGATGAGTTTATTCAATTAAATTATTCAATTCAACTTATTTATACAGCGCCAAAACACGATAACAGTTTCCTCAAGGTGCCTCTATATTGTAAGGTGGACCCTACAGTAATACAACAGAGAACTGAACGATCAGATGAGCCCTTATGAGCAAGTACCTTGGTGTCAGTGGGAAGGAAAAACTCCCATTTAACAGGAAGAAACCTCCAGCAGAACCAGGCTCAGGGAGAGACTGAAATTTAAGCAAGTGACTTCAAGAAATACTGATAGAAACACACCATAAAGCTGTATATGTATGTATGAAAATATGAATATTATAAACATTGGACGTTTATATTTTAGTGTCCTAACAACTACATTTAAAAAGCTTCTGTACTTTTTTCACATGGTGATATTCATCTTCACAGCTTTGGTTTCAAAGTTAGGTTGGGTGTGTTTGGACAAAATATTGTCATTGTGGTTGTGTGAATTACATCTGCGGTGGGTGGTGTACACTGTATCTGTACATCAGCACAGTGTGTTTGTAGTGAAACAATCAGGATGTGACTGAAGTCCAGACCTTCAGCTTTACTTCAAGGGGTTCAAGGCAGTTACTTGTTTAGTTATTGCAGACATTGTTACACACAGTCTCCCATTTTCAGAGGCTAAAATAATCGGATACACTAACACATTTTTTATTCCAAGGATTCTTCTTCCTTTCTTTGTCTTTCAGTGACTTGGCCTTGATAAACTCTTGAGTTGCTTTTGCAGTTGGCTTTGAGTAATTATCCATTTGTACTGTAAAGCGCTGTCTGATCAGTTCTGCATCATTGCTCTGTGCCCTTCATAATTCATCCTGCTCCTTCTATAAACGTCATCAACAAACACGCGTGACCTGGTTACACTGGCAGCCATTCACGCCCGTGCCACAACATCATCTCCACCATGTTGACGGTGATGTCTCCTTCAGATCAGGAGATGTTTCTCTCCTTCTCTATAATTTCCTCTTCCCTTCAAGTTAATCTGGATTTCATCTGTCCAAAGACTTTTTTCCCTAGAACTGTACAGGCTCTTTTAGTTTTCTGGCAAACTCTACTTTGATCTTCTTGTTCCTGAGTGTAACCAGTGGTTTGCACCTTATGGTGAACCCTCTGTATTTATATTAATGATGGCATCCACCGATTGCACACATTAGACTGATACACCTATCTTCTACAGATTTCTTATTTCTTAAGTGATTTTTTTTCTTAAACAAGGTAAGAATCTGTGATGCTACCCCTGAGTTCTTTTTTAAGATCTCTTAGTGCAGCTGAGCTGTGTGATCCTTTTGATCACACAGCTCATGAAACTGCTTGTCAGTAATTTGTCTGATTAATTTTGAGCCTCTGAAATAAAGGACTACATACACAGTAAAAATACTTATGGACCTAACTTTACTCTTGCTTATCAAAGAGTATCACTTTTTACTTATTCGGACTGTGAAACAATACTTGTTGTAAATCTCATTGTATTCTTTGAGCTACATTAATACATATAAATATATCCGTGAAAAAGGTAAATATGTGTGGATATAACTGGTGTAAGTGTTACCTGACAGAGAGGTCCTTCAGACAGCGCTCACATACACTACACAGACACAAACAGACAAGCACAGACATATTTTAGTCTTAAGTAAAAGTACAACTGTTTTTTTGGAAAGAACTGTTGTTTCTCAAACAAACAGGGACTCAGCTCTTGCAAGAGAAACCTTTGACATGGATGGACACATTTCAACTGCTGCAGCAGTGAAAGGTTTGCAGTTGCGTCACATATATCTATGCAATTATTTCTGCCGCCACAACCCAAACTTCAGTCAGAGGCATCCCCCAGCTATCAAATACATGAATTACTGTTGTAACAATATTATGATTACCTTGCGATATAATCACTCCACGATCCCAAACAGCTTCCTGTAAAGTGGCTGGTAAGTGACAGGCGGAGAAGGCATGCCTCCTCACCTAAAATATACCAATGCAAGTCACTGTTTGCAAAGTTTTTTTGCTTGTACTTAAAGCATGTGGAGTAGGGAAGGGAAAATTGATACTCAAATTGAATATACTTTAAGTGTGGGCCATCTTGTATGTGTGTGAGTGTTTACCATTAGTAGTAACAATGGTGTCACCATACATGTTTGTCATCAAGTCAGTTGGATCCTTAAGAAACAAACTGGACTTCTCTGAAACACATCACATAACATCTCTGCATACTCTTCAATCAAACGTCCACGTCACACTTTGCTTCATTTGTACTAAACACAACATGCATGGAAAATCTCTGCTTTTTCTCATGAGTGCTTCTGTGATCTCATTCCTATTTTACAGCATAACAAAAATATCATCACATCACGATGCATAAGTTGAATAAATCATGCCATGGGATATTTAAACTGTTTAAATGTGAGAGGCAGAAACGACTAAATTAAGGTTGGAGATATTTGTATTTAGGGGACTAAATTTGTTTACACAAATTCCTACCGCTAGCATGTGCTTTAAAATTTAAATTATAAAACTTTAATGTCCAGTAAGTCATGTATTAAAAAAAAAAATCTAAATCACAAATAAATACAGTGTGTTAACATTAACGCTTTAAAAAAATCTATTTTCTCCCTCTCTCTCGGTATATTTTGGTCACTGAATAGGCCCTATCCTCATTTTAAGTGTGCAATATAATATGAGTAATTTATTAAAGTGCAAGTATTTAAATCATTTGTAAAAGTAAAAACAATTAAACTTCTATAATAATAATATTTTCCCCCAATACTATCCCGAGTCTCTCCCATGGACTACTCGAGGAAATTTTTTCCATATATCCCTTTGACTGTGGAAGCAAAGTTTAACTATGTGTCGTAAAAGAGAAAGTGTTCACTATACCACACAGCAGCTCTCTCATCCCTTGCACGGAGCAGATAAAGGCTGTCGGTCTGTTCATTAGGCGGCAGAGAAACATTCTGCTCCGGTGTTTTTCGATCCTCTGCTGGCAGAAGCTCACCGGGTCCCGGTAGAACTCCAGGGACTTGTCCCCGAGCAGCGATACACCTGCATTTCCTGGTAGTTTAGTCATTCAGAATCTGAGTGCAACGGCGTTTATCTTCTGTTTGGCTTGTAAATGGCACTGTCAGAACACCAGGAACTCTCAACTTTTTAAAACCAGGTCCAGGTCCGAACTAATTCCTTATTTATCTGTGACTATCCACACGAGCGACCTTGCGAACTCTTGCTAGCTTAATGTTGTTTCTGTTTTCTCTGAGGTACCGTAAAGTGCCCACCTGCACCAGAGAGTGATGCGTTGAGGTGTTGCCCGTAATTTAGATTGACGTTGTAAAGACGGATTAGTCCAGGGATGTCAAACTCGTTTTACATCAGGGGCAGTCACCAAGTTCAGCTAACTGGTCAACATTAAATTTGGATCAGGTGTAGTGAAGAGGGAGGGTCACAGGGAGAACCTCTGTGTTCACATTTTGAGAGTGTGGAGTAGTGGGATATATAAGCAGGCAAACCACTGACTAATATGGGCACAAGAACTTTTTATGGGATGAAAAAATGTAATGGGACAGTTAGGGTCATTCAAGTTCATTCAGTGAACTTGATGAGAGAAACGGTGAGCAATATCCACAGTAAGGAGACCAGGGATCAGTTAATGGTTGTGTGTGTGTCGTTAAGCAATAGTGTGTATGTAAATGATGACATGTGTGCAAGCTTGTGTGTGTGAGAGAGGGTAAAGGGAAATGTAAGGTACCAGGATGCAATGATGCACCAAAAATCAACTGACAAAAATGTGATATATAACCCTAACCCAGACACAACACAGAATCACTTTTTTCATTTGAATCTGAAAAACTTTAGGTAAAAGTCAGTGCTGAGGTGTTTGATTAAATATTTTCATCAAACACCTCAGCACTGAGCTGCACAAGACTGTAAACTTTACTGCATTTTGTCATCCACTTTGAAAAACATATATCCAAGTATGTTTCGTATATTTGCTGCACTACTGTTTTTTTTCCCACGTCTGATTTTGTTTTGATTAAATATTCTCGTTCTTGCCCCCCTCCCCGCCCCGTGCCACCCGGTCAAAAAAAGAAAAATCTTAGAAACGCCCCTTCCCGTCGGGTGTGAAAACAGGTTAACCTTCTTTCGTCACATCAGCTGCGTAAAAAGCCTGACTTTAGAAGCATTCATGTCCTACAGTGAAGGCTTTTGACCACTGCAAATGTGAAGTATCTTCTAATTATGTGGGATAGAGGTAAAATATGATGTCCACTCTCACATAAAGTGGGCCAGTTGGTCACCCGCAGCTGTACTATAGCATGCAGTTCCCCCCTTTGCCACGCGATGGCGGCAACGATCACCCCGCCTCTCTCTCTCTCTCTCTCTCTCTCTCTTGGTGGGACGGTCACTCGTCTGCAGCCCGTGCGTATCAGACTCGCCGGGCTCGCGGCAGCTTTCACACTTCTGTCATGTCAGTAGGAATATAAGGGGAATACACGCGCAGGGGGGAATATTTGACTGTGCGCAAGGGAGGCGTGGAGCCCGACACAGGTAAGAGCCTTACATGAACATTTTTTAAAAGTTTGGCAAAGAGAAACAGGGATACCGTGTGCTCACTGCAACTTCACACACACCTACTATCGAGAGCAAGCAAACACGACGAAATCAATAATAATAACAAAGAGAACAACGCAAATGTAAACTTTTTTTTTCTTATTTTGATGTTCTTTTTTTTGAGTTTCTTATCATCGTTATCACACTGACTGACTGACATCTTGCAGGATTGCTTGACCAGCCAAGTAGCCTAATCCTGTCTCCAGCCTTAAAATTGATTTTAATTTGAATCTAAGCCTCTCTATAAGTGCTTGACTCTTGTGTGAATACCACTGCTTATCATCAATTATAATTTTCCCACACATTTGTTAGCCAAAAAGAATGAACAACTTGTGCCTCCACAGCTGTTTGTTTTAGTTTTTTGTTTAGTTTTTTTTTTTTTACATGTATTACATACCTTCAGCTGCTTTTTTCCCTCGTATTTTTCCACTCATGCACCCAAAGGAGAGACTTACCTCATCAACTTGTATTTTCTTATCTGTACTGTCAAGCTGAGTGATTGGCACATTGTGGGAATAGACTATGTGAGTGACAAAGTAACCAGTCCTGTCTTCATCATGAAAGAAGATGCATTTATGATTTCAGTAGCCTGTCTGTCACTCCTTGATTCATGCCTGATCACCATGCAGTGTCATGAATTATAATTTTTTTGCAGCTTATCACCTGCTTGCGAGCAAAAAAAAAGATGAGGCCAAAGCTATTTTTTCCCATCTTGATTCTTTACCCATGCACATGCTCTAAGAATCTATTTGTTTTCTCAACTTGCTGTGTACTATTTTCTTGTGAATTAGCTTCTAACATTTAGTATGCCACCCTTCTTCTTCTTCTTCTTCATTTTGCTGTAAGTTCATGCAGGGGAACTTCTTCTTCTTGGTCACCGCCGATCGCATGTTTTATGACCTAACATCTATTATTTGACTTAGAGGTGCGTCAGCTTTAGTGTATGGATGAGTAAACATGCACTCGATGTGCTTAATGAGGGGACATTGAAGCTTCAGTGCCTGTGTCGGGACACATGAAAAGGTCAAATGTTGTTCAGTTACTAAGGAACAGGGTGCTAATCAGTGACATTTCATCACAGAGGTGATGCACTAATTTCTCCTTTGCTGCTATATAACAACATGAGCCATGCACACATATAGATCTACTTGAGGCTGGACTCAAATACACACACCATCTACTGAATGCACTTCAGCATGCCAAGCAGCTGCTGGAGGCTGTTCTTCACTTGATTAAGCTTTTAATTGACTGTAAACAATGTAATAGTGCTCTACAGTAAAATGAGTGTTCTGATACACTGCGCTGGTTACACAAAGTGTGTGTCTGTGTGCCTTTGTTAACGAGAGTATTAAGAACAGGATTTTTTTTAAAGACATGAAAAGCTGACTTTCTAAAAGCCTCCCAGGCAGTAATTTAAAACAAAAGCAGATTATGTGCTTATGTAAATGACGAACATTCAGCCCAGTATCTACAGAAAATAGATCTGATGTGGTGTGAGGTGGTAGGAAGGTCTGGGTGGTGGAGGCAGGTCTAACTTTCATAAAGACCAGAGCCTACCTACTTTCACAGATGTGTGATCAACAATAGTCATAACCATAACATAACCTAGTGGGCAGTTTGTGTAGAAATGTTGAAAGGAAGAGTGTTAAAAATGCTGACACTGAGTGTAATCAAATTTCTTGCTTGGTGAAAAAATTATTTTGATTAACTACGTAAAACCTAACCAACAGCTACTGCTACTATAAAAGTTTTGTGAGGGTGTTTAATCATGTTTATGTGCCTTTTATTGTGGGAAAGTCTTTGTCAGCGGAGTATGTTGGATGCAGTTTAGTAAATCACTTTGTGACTTTTTATGAGGGCATAATGTTGCACTGGATTTGCCAAGCGGGGTTTTGTTTGATGAACTCACTTGAGGTATTTCCCGATTTGAGTGAGGGGATGTGTTTGATAATGTGGGTCAGTATAAAGAGTCATAATGCTCCACACTTCCTGAAAGTAGGGGTGTCAGATACATCTTCACTGAGTCCACACTGGGAACTGATATTCATATCAAGGTGGCAAACATTGACGTGGTTTATTGTCATGCCTTTATTTATTGTAAAATGCCAAGATCCAGTAGATTGTACTGTAGAACCACCCTGAGTATAGTTTCTTAATAGTTTTCTGTGTGAGTTCAGTCTCTTACATTGTGGGGGCCATTGCAACACCATGATTCTCCCATTTTTCAGCCATTCTGCTATAGAGTTGCTGTTGTGCTTGGGATCATTGCCCTGTTGCATGACTTGGTTTCAGCCAACCTTTAGCTCTCGGAGAGATGGCCTTAGATTTGACTCTAGAATGTCGACATGGTCGACTGCAGTGACTGCAAGATGCTCAGATCCCGTGGCTGCTAAACAAGCCCAAATCAAATGTCAACTGACTTTGTTAATTGTTGTGTGGGGTTGGAAAAAGAGCTACCACTGACTGTACTTGAACTAGCATCTCAGTGAGTGCAAGTAGGGCTCCAAAGGTCGATCAAAGAACTTCTTTGAGAACTTTTCCAAACCCAAAAAATGTTGACAGTTTGGTATAAGGTATTTATGATAATGTAGTGTGCTTATGATAATGCAGCCTCCCTGGGAAAGTCTATGCCAGGGTGCTGGAAAGGAGAGTTCGTCCGTTAGTCGAACCTCGGAT